CACTACAACCGAAGGGTGAAATGCTAGCAGTACAGAGGAAATGTAAATTATTCATGGCAGCGGACTGAAGCAGGGAGGCACAATGAAATGGCTGCAGTGTCTTCATCTTCTCAGCCTGGTCCTGTAGGAGGGCTTTAGCCAGTACCCACTAAAGGGGGTCACCGGAACACCCTGTGACAACGAACAATTGCTAATTTTGCTGGTGTAAATATAGAATGTTAACATCACTGGCAGCATGTGCTTAGCAGATACAATATTTCCATCTCCAACTCGTGCCTTACTCAGAAGAAAAACATGTAGAGATTTTTTCACGGAAGGATTACTAGTTAAGACTGTAGTTACCCCTAAATAAAATTACACATGGAATCTTGAAATGCCAGGTTAGCGTGCAGAATTATGTGTTCTTTTCTAATCCTGTGATCCTATTAAGCAGTATGTTTTGGAGACATTTATCTCCAGCAGAAATAGTAAATGTCAGCTTTTGGGCAGTTAAGCTTAATTACAGTGATTACTTTTCATGTGTAAACCCTACCTACTGCTTAAGGAATCCGTAGTTTATATTTGTGCGATCCTTATTAAGGTAAGGAGCAGCTGATGTCCTTGAGAGCTGTTTGCAGTTCATAACACATGGTCTTTGTTAGAGGAAAGGTTCCATGCGGTCCCTTTTTGGTGCTCAAATGCCTTGTTAGCGTATGAGTGGTCACAAACCGACCTCCTGTGTTAGACTGTTATTATTGGGCATACTCATATTTCAAACTAATATTAATTTGAGTTCTCATCGAGCTTTCATGATACAAAATACAGTGGTGTTTGTTGTGCATGTCTGTCATGTTACAGCTTCTTAAAACTAATTTCCTTTCTGAATTCATCCTTGTCTGTAGGTTCAGTGGTCTCCCCATAATGAAACTATACTGGCCTCCAGTGGCACTGACCGCAGGCTAAATGTCTGGGACTTGAGGTAAATCCCAAATTAGTCACCTTGCCCTGACAAAATATTATTGATGAATTGCATCACACTTCAAAAAACAAACAAACAAATCCCTCACCTTTTCATTTTTCCTCCCTGTTTTTACAGTAAAATTGGAGAAGAGCAATCCCCTGAGGATGCTGAGGATGGTCCCCCAGAGCTGTTGGTAAGTCTTTTGAATTTCATTGATGGTTTTGACCTATTATTCATCTCTGCGATGTACATTTGAAAACATTCCCTTTTTTGTTTCCCCAATACTAGTTTATTCATGGTGGTCATACTGCAAAGATATCTGATTTCTCCTGGAATCCCAATGAACCCTGGGTAATTTGTTCTGTATCAGAAGATAATATCATGCAAGTCTGGCAAATGGTAAGTTGTTTGGGAAGGAAGTGGCGGGTGAGAGATGGTGTTGAACTGCCTGGATTTCAGCATTCCTGGCTTTATTTTCAGCTCTCAGCGTGACTTGCTTTGTAGCACTGCCTAAATCTCAAAGGGACGGTGAAAGCCACATCAAGTTTGGTCGAAACCATGGTTTACAAATACTCAGAAGCTGCTTTGTGTTTCTCATGATTTTAAAAAAAAGAAAGTACTGGTGTAGAAGGAAACGTTTCCTTTCTATGTTTGAATGAAAACGGGGTGTGTGAGAACCAAAGATGAAATTGGGGTTTCTGTTAGTTATTGTCTTAAAGAATGAAGTCTTTGCAAATGATATTAAATGTGAGAGAGGGATGGTGATGAATAGGAAAAATTTGCTGACCCTAAATTACCAGCTGTTGAAGGTTTTGAAAAACAATCTTGTATCGCTTGAATAACATCTGATGAGACCATACTCCTAATTATTTTTTATCTATAAATTGGTTCACAGGGGCTTTGTTCTTAGCAGCCTTCCATATAGTTCTTTTGGAGGTGCTGCTGCTAAGTAGAGGTTCTACTAAATGCATACACAAGAGTCTGTTAATTAAAGTAAGTCTCGCAGTGGTCTCTGCTTTAAGAAGGCAGATTTCCGTAAGCTACAGTAACTTATGAAATGTTTTGGAGTCACGGCTGTTACAAAAAAGGTCGTTTGTGTTGCTTCTTTAATGTTAAATGACCTCGAGGGATCAGGGATGGGTAATACATCTTTGCAGATGAAAAACTGCCAGAACTTTTTGAAGTGTTCTAGCAGACGGGATCCCGTTCGATGTGGTGGCAAAATGCTCCTGCAGTTCCTCCATCTCTGTCTTGCAGGCGGAGAACATATATAACGATGAAGACCCCGAAGGCAGTGTGGATCCGGAAGGTCAAGGATCCTAGATGACAACCTTTTCCTGTTTTTAGTCTTTTTCCTTCTCTTCCCTCTCAACCCTGATATTGACTTAACACTGGTTTTGAGACACACGTAGACTTTGTGTTCAGCCATCCTTCGGTAGAAACCATCAACAGGCTTTTTAACCCAGACAGTGAGTACTCCCTAAGAAAAGGGCTTAGCCCAACTCAGCTGGTACCGTGCTGTAGCTCCTCGGTCAGATTTCCTGCGGCAGCCCCTTGCGTAAGGGCTGGCTGTCCCGTTTTAGCTGCCTTCATCACACAGAGCAAACTCGGTTTCGTTGGTTTTTTCTTCTTCTGTCTTTAGCTTGCTACAGCTGCGGGCTTTTGCCTAATTTAAACAAAAAATAAATCCGTATGCTTGAGCCAATGGAGATGATACAAGTGTTAATCCACTGGCAGTTCAGAAGCGGAGTATGGAAGGTCTTATCCTCTTCAGTACAACTCAGAAGTCTTGGGATTCCTTTAGCTAGTCCGTACCTTGTGGATTTTTCTGCCTCTGCAGATGCAAAACAGACTTCTTGCAGATTCTGACTTGAACTGAAATTCAATTTCTTCCTATATTTTTTGTCTCTACTGGTAATTCTGGGTTTTTCCTTCCTTCCTTCCTTCCTTCCTTCCTTTCTTTTCTCTTCCGCCTGTCGGCTGGGCGACGGCGGTTTTGGTTAGTTATCTATGCCTGGCGTGCTTTGTTCACCTTCCATGTATTTTGCTCTATTGTGTGTTTCTTGAGCTGTGTTTTCACATATATTTCTTTCCTTTCTGTGAAATGGTTTTTAAAACTTGGGGCCACCAAGTTGTAAAGGTGTATGTTTTTACCAACTGATGTACCACAGATGGCATGCCCGGTAACCTAAAACAGCATTGGTAGCTGGTATCTGTAAAGCGATTTAAATGTGGATGAACTACTTTTTTTAGGAGTTAGTCCTTGACCACTAGTTCCTGCACATCTTCCACTAGGGTGTCCTCTTCCACCAGCAACCTGTTACTCTCCATGCTCCTCATGACTAATTGCGTGTAAGTGCTTCAGATGGAATAAATTTTTTCTACGTAAACGCTGTGTGGCTCTGTGATTTTTTGTGTTGATTTTGTGTTTGTGTTTCTTTCTGCATTAACTACTTTCTCGAGAGTAAAGTGTCCTCAGAAGGCAGGGGAAGCGAGGGCATAGTCTCTGCCCGTGTGTCCTGTGAGACTAGGTGCTGATACCGATATTCCTTATGTTTGTAACTCGTGGATGCTTTTCCCGGTCTTGTTTCTGCTGCTTTCTTTGTGAAATGAGTAAATGAGTTCCTTCCTTCCTTCCTTCCTTCCTTCCTTTCCCTTTTCTCCCGTCTGCTGGGCGACAGCGGTTTGGATTCGTTAGCTATTCCTGCAGAGCATTGTTCACCTTCCATGTATTTTGCTCTATTGTGTGTTTCTTGAGCTGTGTTTTCACATATATTTCTTTCCTTTCTGTGAAATGGTTTTTAAAACTTGGGGCCACCAAGTTGTAAAGGTGTATGTTTTTACCAACTGATGTACCACAGATGGCATGCCCGGTAACCTAAAACAGCATTGGTAGCTGGTATCTGTAAAGCGATTTAAATGTGGATGAACTACTTTTTTTAGGAGTTAGTCCTTGACCACTAGTTCCTGCACATCTTCCACTAGGGTGTCCTCTTCCACCAGCAACCTGTTACTCTCCATGCTCCTCATGACTAATTGCGTGTAAGTGCTTCAGATGGAATAAATTTTTTCTACGTAAACGCTGTGTGGCTCTGTGATTTTTTGTGTTGATTTTGTGTTTGTGTTTCTTTCTGCATTAACTACTTTCTCGAGAGTAAAGTGTCCTCAGAAGGCAGGGGAAGCGAGGGCATAGTCTCTGCCCGTGTGTCCTGTGAGACTAGGTGCTGATACCGATATTCCTTATGTTTGTAACTCGTGGATGCTTTTCCCGGTCTTGTTTCTGCTGCTTTCTTTGTGAAATGAGTAAATGAGTACTTAATATCCCCCAGCAGTCAAGAACGCGCCGCAGCGTGCCTTCCCCCCGAAGCGTGCTGCTCTCTGGATTTGGGATCTGCCTTTAGCCCTTGCCCCAGCACTATTTTTTTCGTTGTTAGTCTGCAGCACGACTAGCTGGATACCTTACGCGTACCTTGGCTTGACACACAAGCTTGTTATTTTCTCTTTGAGACGCAGCTTTGAGAATTAAAAGGATTCTTAAACTCTGATCTTTATTTTCAGTGTGAGACTATATAAAGTGGACACCCATTATCCACAAACAAGTTTCCGTGGCCCATGGTGGAGCATGTCACAATACAGCAGAGACCCTTGAAATACAAAAGAAAATCCTGTTAAAAGGATAAAGCTTCTCTTGCATGTAAACTATAAAAAAATCAAACTGCCTAACGCTGGCTTCCAGAACGATACTTTCTGCGCGGGCTTACACAATCCGCCTATGGAACAAGACGATACGTTTTCCGAACACAGCAAAACACATCTGCTAATCTTCATCTATGGCCGTTGTTCAGTGCAAGTATTTTTTTCTCTGCTCCTCTGTGGAAAAGCAGTTTTACTACACGATTTAACAGCAGCACCTTGAGAAATACCCCCGAGCAAAGGATTGTCCGGTATTCCCCGCTTCAGGCAGCTGCGGTGCGTCAGGTAGGATGAGCAGCACGAGGAGACGTCCCCTGCGGGGGCCTCTGTCCGTTGCTTTGCTACAAGGAGGAAAAGTCCATCGTTCCTAACGGTCCTGGTCTGCTTTTTCTTCCGATTTGCAAAGGTGGCCGTAGATTTCTAAGCAGCTCCTGTGTGGGTAGAAAGTCAATTTAGGCAACTGGATATTTACATAAAGTATTCTGGCTGGAGAAAACAGGGAAGGGGGACGTGCTGTTTCCAAAAAAACGTTCTTTTCACGGTATGGAAGAAAAGGAATTGGGAGACACTTAAACTGGCTGAGGACGTCGTCTGGTGAGCGTGCAGACCTAGCCGAGCCCTTCCAGAGCCCTTGGCAAACAAACCAGCTTTAACAGAAGGGAATGTAATTTTTGGTGTGAGCTCCAGGAGCCGGCGGCTCGGAGCCGTGCTTAACTCCGAGGTCCCCGGTGCAAACGGGAAACTTAATGAGGTGGCCTGACATAGGAGAAGCCCCGCGCGCTATCGCTCCCAGGGACGGCGATTTGTAGGTTGCCAGGAGTTAAGAGGCTGCGCTGCTGCACCCAGGCTCAAATATTGGTCTGTGATTTAGACGCGTGATTTAGGACCACGAGCAGCAAAGACGTGGGGTTGTTGGGATCTGGTCTGAAGCGTAACTGCAGTTACTCTCGTTAATACATCTTGGAATGGCTGGTGACGTGACAGGCTGAAACGGAGATCTCTTCCCCTCTGCTTACCGTGCTAAAGTCTTACCCGGATAAAAGAAAACTATTCCTGTTTGTGGTGGGGAACATCCTCTCGTGGTGCGCTGGCACGAGGAGGTTTGAGTGGAGAAGGGGTAAAAAGAATGCTAGGGTAACAGCGAAGCTACAGAAAATGGTTAAGAGTGTGTACAGCTGAGATTGGAGTAGCACGTAACACAAAGTTTGGTGAGTAAAATAGTCCACAAACTTAGGGACATTTTCTGGAGCTTTACAAAATCCCATGTAATAAAGAAGACCTGAGTCAAACCAGCAGCAGAGACTGATAAGCAGAAGGTAGTTTCTCATTAAAGAGCATCTACAACGCTGTTTCCCAAACCTAAACCTCATCTCCTTTACGCATATTCCTAAGGACGCCGGTACTTTGGTTTAAGCTGCCACGTCTGCTTCTTGGAAAGCAACTTCTGTTCCTCGTCTACAGGAATTCCCACCAAATCCCTGCTTGCTGGATGGCAAAAGGTCTGGAGTTCCCGCTGTGCTGCCCCACCAGCCCCCTTGCTCGCACCCCGGCCACGTGCCCAGGGACCAGGAGCAAAAGCCCACGGTGTCCAGTAGCCGTGTGACCGCCAGCCTCTCTTCTCCACCATCCTCCTCCTCCCAGCCCCTCCCCAGCCCCTCCGCACCGCAGGGACGAGGCACAAACGGACTTGTAGATGGAGAGCTCCCGGTGGAGGCTGGTCCTCAGCTCCTCCAGTTCCTGATTCTTGCGCTGCTGGAGCTGGACCCCGTTCTTCAGCTCCTTCAGCCTGTCTTCCAGCTCCTCAACCTGCTCCTAGGGAGGAAGAAGACAAGAGTGGATTAGCTGGGGGAGGAAGGCTGTCTCAGTGCCCACGCTCAGCTGCTGCCCACGCTCGCCCGGGGGGATCTGCCTGTCGATGGGGTTGGTCTGGACAGAGCGATGCCAGGCTGATGGCTGGCCAACCGCCCTCTTAAAAAACCTCTGCAAAAAAGCTTTGTTTTATTACGAAGGTGGGAGCTTGGGCGGGGATGTGATGCGCTGGGTCCTCAGCCTTCTCCTGGCTGGTTGGTTCTGTCCCCTAGACTATTTTGTGTGTGTTTTGAGAAGCTGTCAGAACTGTATAAACCTATGAGTCAGGAGAAGATAAACAAGGAATTGGGGGAAAAGAAAATGTGGAGGCACATCAGGGATGCCCCAAAGTCCTGTCCTCCAAGGGAGAGCGGACCCTGAAATCCAAGACGAGCAGTGTCGTGGGCGCTGGTGACCTGATCCCCAGCCCAGCAGGGAGGAGAAGCGATGGAGGGGGGATGCCAGCTTCCAGAAGCTGCTCAGAGCCAGACTGGGAGGAGGCAGCGATTACGAGCCGAGAACAGGGAGTGTTGAAACGAGGGAGATTAATTGTGGAGCTTCTTTGCCAAATGTGCTCTTGTAGATATTGAATTGCCTTGTCCCTCAGGACAAGGTGCAGGGAGAGGATGCCTGGCCCAGCCAGAAATAACCCTCTCGGGAGGCAGCCCGGCCCCTGGGCTGCGGGCACAGGAGGTGCGACCCTTCCCGGCAGTGGGAAGGGCAGGATCTGCCCCCACAGGGCTGGGCTTTTAAAGAAAAGCCACCTTTATTTCAAGCTGACTTTTCCAAGCGCCTTAGCTCAGCCCCTGGGCTAGCACGAGCTGCGGGAAACGCGCAGTGCCTGCGCTCAGCAGCATCGCTCAGCTCTGCCACCGGCCGCTCTGGGAAGGAAACCCCCGTCCCCTCTGCCTCATCCCTGCTCGCTGGGGCACGTCAAAACCAAGTGAGAATAAAATCAGGAGAAACCTTTTTTTCCGGTAGCTCATCAGGTGAAGCCCCACCACTTTCCCACCGCATCCCTGTAACCTCGGGTTTGCTGCTTCGCCTGGCCCGCGCCAGGGCAGGGGATGCTTTTGACTTCAACCAGCAAGAGATATTTCACCTCCTTACCCTCCTCACCCACCCCGCTCCTCCCCTTGGCCCCGCAAGCAAGACCTTCAGCATCCACCTTTCACCGGCTGCAAAGAACGACTCCTGCTCTCTAAACAAGAGGGTGCGAGGGGTGCCCAGCCGGGGCGCGTACCCGGTACTGCCCGACCTCTTCATCCCGTTTCTGCTTGACGAGGACGATCTGCTCCTCCAGGCTCCGGTTCTGCAGCCGCAGCCGGCTGACCTCCCCCTGCAAGGGCCGCAGGGCTTCCTTCATCCCCTGGATCTCCCCATGCATCTCCTGCAGCGCCTTCGCCCCCGCCTCGCGTCTCTCCAGCAGCCGCAGCAGTTGGGGCTCATAGTGCTCCTCCAGACCCCGCCGGCTTTCCGCCACGAAGCTCTCGAACTCCATGGAGAGCCGGCGGCTCTCCTGCAGGTACAGGTTATCCTGCCGACACGGTGGCATCTCCAGCCGTTGCCTCAAAACCTCCTTCTCCTTCTCGCAGGTCTCCTTCAGCCGGGACAATTCGCTAGAGAGCTGCCCAGCCTGGGTCTCCAGCTCGCCCTGGTAAGCAGCGTGCTGGGAGAGGTCGTGCCGCCGGCTCTCCAGCTGGTACTGGCAAGCCACGCACTCCTTCGTCACCTTGAACAGCTTCTGCTTGATCTGCCGGATTTCATCCTTCAGGTTGTCCCTCTCCAGCTCCACCTTGGCCAGCAGCCGGCAGGCTGCCTGGATCTCCTCATGGGCATGGCGGATCTCCTGCAGTGCCGGCTCCCGGAGCTGGGCGAGCTCCACAATCAGGCTGTCTCTCTCTTTCTCCAGCTGCTCGACGGCTTCGATGCACTCTTGGAAGTAGTCCCCCAGCTCTTCGAGGGTGAGGCACTGATGCTCCGCACCATCCGCGTCCAGGGGGCTGCCTGCCCCCTCTGCATCCATATCCAGCGGGATCCCTGCCCCATCTGCGTCCGCATCGGGCCCCCCTGCCCCATCTGTGTCCATGTACAGCGGGATCCCTACTCCATCTGCGTCCACGTCCAGTGGGATTCCTGTCCCACCTGCATCCACATCCAGTGGGATCCCTGCCCCATCCACATCCAGTGGGATCTCTACTCCCTCTGCATCCATGTCCAGTGGGATCCCCGTCCCACCTGCATCCACGTCCAGTGGGATTCCTGCCCCACCCACATCCAGCGGGATCCCTACTCCCTCTGTATCCACATCCAGCGGGATTCCTGCCACGTCCACGTCCAGCGGGATCCTGGCCCCGGCCACATTCTCATCCAGCTGGGCCCCTGGCATGTTTAGCTCCAAGGAAGCATCCCTGCTGTCTGCCTGCAGCTCCTGGCAGGCGTCTGGGCTGCCCCTGTGCAGGGGTGTCACCCCCGCGCCCGCTGCTGGGTCTAACGGGCTGTGCAAAAGGTCCGGGTGCGGAGCAGTGCCTGCAGCCGCTCCCTGCGGGGCTGAGGATGCTCCGGCTTCATCCAGCTGCAGCTCTGGAGGGGGCTCGGGCTCTGCCATCAGGTCCCTGGAAAGGAGAGGACACGTGAACCAGAGCAATGAGTGTAACAGGTCCCAGCCCTCTCTCTCCGCCCTGTGAGACGCGGGTGCCCCGCAGCAGGCTGAGCTGGGGGTGCTCTCGCCGGGGCCCCGCTGCCGTGACTGTCCCCGCGTCACCCAGGGGCTGTGCAAACCAGGCAGGGCTGCCCTTGCACGCTCTGATGACCACTTTGACTCAAGCTGTTGGGAAAAAAAACGCCTAGAAGCGACTGACTGCGACGAAGGAAGAGTGAGGGACGCAAACCCAGACCCCGAAACCGAGAGCTACTCCGGTGCCAAGGGGAACTGCCCACCATGCCATGGCCGATCTCCCCCAGCGGCACCGGTATGACTGGTGAGACGAGAGCGTAGCTGCTGTGCCCATGCCAAAATCTCGCACCTGGGGGGTCGCACACACCGCGCACCGCCGGCACGGGCACTTCCAGTAAAACTTGCCGGGATTTTAGCAATGTGGCATAACCTCACGGCAAGGGAATGTGCTGCTAAAGCGCAGGCAGGCTCCAGGATGGCCGAGATGAGTAAAGCACCGCACGCACAGCGCCCGAGCGAGCGGCAGCTCCTGCAGCAGGAGCCCGGCGAGCTCCACTTTGCAGAGTCATCCGATCCTGTCATTATCCCCAGCCCCGGTACCTGCAGCTGCCACCACAAAATACTCGCCTCTCACATTTGTCCGGGTGCTATTTGGGGTAGGATGGAGAGGACAACCCTCGGGGACGAGCTGGAGCTTTTCCTGCCGCTTCCAGGAGCCGGGGCCGGTGGGCTCGGCGGGAGGATGCTCTCACCTCCCGGCCACGCCGCTGAGCTCATGTCTAGTCATCCCCCAAGGAATGAGCACAGGCTGGCACTCGCAGGCAGCCCTCGGCTCGCGGCAACGGCTTTAAGGAAAGAACTGATTTTCACCGATACTTTCTCTCCTAATAAGGTAGTTTTCGGCAGCGATGACACATCGCAGCCTCGGACCCAACGGCCCGTCCGTTGGAGAGGGGGCAGCACTTGGAAAGGTGGGGAAAGGGCTCTGCTTCATTTTTCCTTGCCCTCCTCCGGTCCCAGCGCTTATTTTTCAAAGTTCTCGGCTCTGCCCTGCATCCAGCAGCGTGGGAGGGGAGCACGGCCGTCCCACCCTCGCAGCGGGGCGCGGGGGCTCGCTCCCACCCACCACCCCTCGTCCCAGAGCCCCCCGGGTGGGCAGCGCTCCTGGGTACCCCGGAGGGGCTGCTTCCCCCCCTCTCCACTCCTGAGGGTCCAGGGATGCTCCCTGGGTGCTGAACCTCAGATCCCCCCCACCCCATCCCTGCGCCCCAGGCTTTGGCAGCCCCCTCGCCTGCCCCACGCCCGCCACCTCGCCAAGGCTCCCGTACCCACGGCGCCCCACGGCAGACACCAGCCCCTTATCCGTTCCCCCCGCTCGCCCCAGGCAGCTGCTTACCTTCCTCCCCCGGAGCCCAGCGCCTCCGGCTCTGCGTTGCACATGGGCTTAGCATGGGGCGGAGGGGGGTTATTAATAAACAGGGGGGGGAGGAGGAGGAGGAGGAGGAGGAGGAGGAGGAGGGCGGGGAAGGCCAAGCCGCCTGCATCCCTGGCAGAGGCAGCCGCAGGGGTTGGCTGCAGCCAGCCTGCATCCCTGGGGAGCATCCCCTGCAGCCCCCATCCCGCTCCGGCTGTGCCCACCCGTGATTTAACGTGGACGTTTGCTTTGTGCAGCCTCAAACCCTCCCACGGCACTGGGGGCTCCTTCCCGGGAGCCACGGGGCCCCATCCTGCCGGGGTCCCAGGCAGGGCACGGGGGGCCGGGATGGGGACAGCGGGGTGCCTGGGCGGTGGCCCCTGTGGCTGCGCGGGGTTCGCCTCCGACGCGGGCGGCTGGAAGGGGAAACGCGGGAGGACGCAGCACATGGCCGCCAAATGCCACGGCCTCACCCTGTGCATGGAGTGGGGTGCTCAGGCGCGTGCTGGCAGCGCAGTGATGCGCTCCCCTTGGTATTTGTTACAGCATATTAACGTATTAAATACCAGTATCTCAGGGGTCTTTAGATGCTCCAGGTCGGCCCTGCAAACACCCCAGTAACTGCAGAGCGCAGCCTCTGCTTCCCCTTCCACCCATAACCCCAGCCCTGCCTCCCTTCTCCCCTCTGTTTCGGGGATGGCGACGCTGGTGTTTCGCTCTGCAAAGCCCCGCGATGGCCGTGGCCGCCCTCCTGGCCGCCCGGCAGTGACGCTGCCCTCGCTGCTGCCCTCGCTGCTGCCCTCGCTGCTGCCTTCACTGCCCACAGATGTGGTTTTCCCCCTCTGCTCACCCACCGTCCCCACAGCTCTGCTTTCCCGCGGTGCCCCATCCTCCCCACCCCGCGGCACCCTAAACCGGCCCTTCGGCGGATATATCATCAGCATATATTTATATAAAAATACGTGTTTTAGATATATTGCCGCGTTGGCGTGGGTGCAGCAGCCCAGGGTGGTGGCACGGCCAGTGGGCACTTGGCCTGGCCACCCCCTGCGGTATTAGAGCCAACCGAGCCTACCTCTGCCAGGGTCCGATCCTGCCCGCTGCCGCCGCGGCTCAGGAAGTCGGCGCTTGCCGCTCAGGAAGTCGCCAGCTTACGTGCCCCAAAATCGCCCAGCAACGCGCACCGCAGCTTGCAACATCGCCCAGTGCCACCCCATCCCCGCGTCACCGACACCGTCACCGACACCTTGTGCCCGTGCCTTGCTCGCCGCTGGGCTGCCGAAATCAGGTTTAAAATAACTGCGCTTGTCCATCTCCTGGGAACAGAGCTTTAAAAGGAAAAGGGAGATTTCAGTGGGATTCTTTTCTTTTTTTTTTTTTTTTGATCCTGTTGCTTTTTTCAGCACAACCCACCTTTTTTTTTTTCTCTCTCTCTTTTTTTCCATGAAGCGCCTCTAGTTGTGCCGAGACTTTTGACTCAATAGGAGAGGAATGCTGTTAATTCGCACAAGTTGTGTGTATAAATATATATCAAGAGCTGAAACTGCCAGGGGGAGAAACCTGCAGGTCGCGTGGGCTGGGTCCAACAAACCCTTGTAGGGGATGGAGGGGACGACGGCAGCGGCGCTGCCGAGCCCCGGCTGGGATTTATCTGATGAGCTGCCAAGGGCAGGGTGGGGATTGAAAAGGCTCAGCTGTTCTCTGCTCCGTAAGAGGATACCCCGGCCCCGGCCCCGGCGCGGGGCTGTTTTGTGGACATAACCAGGCAACGGCTGGCTCAGGTGTCAGCGGCCGGACCCCAACGCGCTCGGCAGAGCTCGGCCGGCTGCGGGCACGCGCTGGGTTCGGCTGGCACGGAGAGACGCCGTCGTGTGCGAACTGGCGTGGACTTTGCTCCAGTAAACAGAGCTGGCGGGGAGTTATCGGCGGCGCTGCCGGAGGGGAAAGCAAAAGGCAGGAGTGTATTTGAGAGACAAAATGTTCCGGCTGCTGCCGTGCCTGGCCGCCGCGGCGTCCCTGGCACGGACCCGGCGAGCAGCTGAAGGGGGTCGTGGGGAGCAAAGAGCAGCTGTGGGTCACTTTGCCATGGTGCTGGCGCTGCCATCCCCCTTCCCAGTGGATTTTTCCTTCCCGTCACACATGGCAGATCTGCCCCGAGGGCAGGGACGGAGCCGGCACCGCAGCCTCGCCACCCTGGCACCATCGTCTTGGCACCGCCACCGTGGCACTGCCACAGCAATGTGATGGCTCTGTCCCCATGCTGTCCCCCAACAATCTTTAGGGACAGGCCTGAGGGACCAGGGAGGTTTGCCCAACTTCAAGGCCTTCTCGGCCAGAGGCTCCGGCAGCACCGGCGGCATTGTGGGGTGCCCAGCCTGCCCAAACCCCAGCGTCAACGGGATTTAGCAGCAGCAAACCTGGGCAATGCTGCCAGCCCAGCGCCCTCCATGCGCAGCTCACCGTGGCCGTTTGCTGAGGGTGCGGGGGCTCCGGCTGCGGCAGGGTGAGCGCTGCGGATCCGGCCCCCGCCCCGTGCGCAGGAGCTGCAATCTGATCTCAGGGGGAAAGTGTGATTCATTGCCGGAGCTGGGAGCACTTCCAGGGATGGATCCTGGCTCGGAGGGCGGCAGCACTGTGCACCCGCTCCTGCCCTGCCCTCCGAGGTGGCCCCTTTGCCTGGGCGGGTGGGGGGTCCCTGGATGAAGCTGAAGCGGCTATGGCTGCGTGGGGACAGCACCCAGGGGCACTCACCCAGGCCTGGGGCTTGGATGCCACTGGGCCCTTGGGAACAGCCTGGCTCGCTTCGCCTCCTGCCTCAGTTTCCCCAGCTGAGAGCTGGGGCTGACCCCCACCTTGGAGCCCACCACCGGCAGTGACGCAGGGGTGCCATGGGGATGCCGCTGGGGCAGCCGGCACAGGGTGAGCACCGCGGCCGAGTCCCAGGAGTTGGCACCTGGGGGCTCATCACGCACCCGCCACAGAGATGCCGGACCTGTTGCACAACTCCCGGTGCACCGGCCAGGGCAAAGAGGCTCAGGATAGATCCTGTGAGAGGGAGGCAAGGTCACCCAGTGGGGCTGGAGGAGGAGGAGGAGGAAGAAGAGGAGGAGGAGGAGGAAGAGAAGTGCAGCATGGGCATGTGCCCAGCTGGGGCAGAGATGACAGGGGGAGCCCGAAGGTGCCGTCTGCCCTGCAGGGACCTTGGGAGCTCCGCGGGAGCAAGGCCAGACCCTGTCTGCAGGCCACAGGCGCCGGCGGCTCCCGCTTATCTGGGTGCTGGGCCCCGCTCTGCCCCGCAGCGAGGCGGGACGAGGAAAGCGCCGTTCCTGCCATAGCTGCTCCCGAGGAAGGTGCCGGCCCAGCCAGGGGAGCAGAGTGGGGATGGGTGGGGGGTCTGGCTGCAGGGACGGAGCACTGGAGCCCCCGCCAGCATGCCCGCTCCCGCATCGCGCTGCTTCGGCTTTGTCTTTGCTGAGCCCAGATCACGGGCTTTAAACCCTTGCAGATACCGAGTTTTAAACATTTGTGTCAAGGCTGCCTGTCCCAGCAGCTCCCACGGCAGCGTGTGTGTGTGTGTGTGTGTGTGTGTGTGTGTGTGCGCCACCCCGTGCCACGGGCTTACAGACGCCCCAAGCAGCGCTCGGCCGTGCTCCTGCAATGCCCACCACTGTGTGTGCACGTGTCTGTGTGTCCGTGCGTGTGCATGTGTCCGTGCACGTGTGTGCACACCTCAGCGTGCGCAAACAGCCCCGTAACACGCAGCTGTCGCAACAAGTGACCCACATTATTAGCAGCCCGTGTGCTTGTACGACGGAGCTGGCAGGGGCTGACATGGCGGGATCAGGCCTGAAGCAGCGGTTATGGACACCCGGTTTTGGTGACGTCCCTCTCTTTCCCCAGCTGCCTCCTGGAGCTGATGGCTGCCAGCCATGCTCAAGCCGTGCCGGGGGATTTCACGCCCCAGGTCTGGGGCTGCCACGTGCCATCAGCCCCATCAAGTGCCTGCCGCCTGCCCGTGGGGCACTTATGGGGCAAATCAGCCGACCTGTCCGTCGGCACCGTCCCCACACAGCACCCTGCGCCTGTCGAGCACCGAGGCTGTGCTGGCTTTCCCGTGGGCTTTCCCTTCGCATTGAATCCGGACGCTCACGCAGGAGCAGGAGCTGCCTCTCATGGCCACCTGTCTGGGCCACTGCGGGCACGGGCGATGGTCCTGGGAGGCCGTGACAGAGCCGTCGCTTCCCAGCACAAGGGAGCCAGGCAGGGGGCAACCGCTGCTTTTTATTCATTGCCATCTCCATGCACAACACACCCAAGCAAGGAGCATTCGCCTTCGCCCTTCTGACGGCACTTATGGCCCAGGCACCCATTTATAAAACCCATTTTTAAAACAGCGAACGCAACGCTGATTTTAAGCATCGCGGCAATCGGTCCCCATGTCCCAACGATCGCTAACAGGGTCACTGCTGCCCAAGCGCCGGCGGAGAGGGCTCGTCGCTGGGTTTTTCCATATCCTGGGGTGAGGATTTGGAGCGAGCGGCTCCTGCTCGGGGATGCAGCGGTGTGGGAAGCAGCACCCGCAGGGCTCAGCGGGGCCGGGGCGACCACACGAGGACCTTGTCCCGGCTGCCTGCAAGCGCCGGAGACGTTAATGAGTAATGAGGGAGCAGCCATCCCTCCCGCTGCCGCGGCAAGGGGAAGGAAACGGGGGCAGAGGACGGGCTGAGCACACCCCAATGCACCGGCTGCACCAAACTTGTGCCGTCCTGGTGCGAGGGGCAGGAACATCGGCGGCTGCTGAAGCACGTGATGGCACGGCCAGTGGCCGATGTATTTTGGCACCCTTAGGTGCCATTTGGGATCAGGCACAGGGGGCTCTTAGGGCACATGCGCCCCCCCCCCGCCTCTCTGCCCCCCCTCCCGTCTGCCTCGGCCTCGCCGGAGCTGAGCTCCAGCCGGCTGCTCTCCCCGCGAGGCGCCCGGCATCCTTGTGACCATCTTGGCCATGCAAGCGGAAAATGAGTTATCCAGCTGGGTACCCCGGCACGCTGCTGGCGCTGGAGCTCTCTGGGGAGGGGGTAAAGCTTTCTGGGGCTCCGCACGAAGGGCTGGTGCTTTAGGGAGCCCCTGGACTTTCCCTCTACACCAGGACGGGGACTGTAACAGAGGGAAAGCTGAGGACGACCTTCCTCTTCACCTCCCTCCTCTACTTTCCTCACCCATCTGACGAGAGCTCTCCCCAGAGGGTAACGAATGCTCTCCCTCTTGCTGTGGTTGTTTGGACAATGGCCCGTAACTGTGTGCAAATGTATTTTTCAAACTGGTTCTGCTGCCATCCGAGGAGGGGCAAGATGTGAAAACCAGGATCTTTTTTTGGAGGCTAATGACTCGGAAGTCGGAGCCGGCGATGGAAAGTCAACACAAGCGCCCTAATTGGGGTTAGCTTTTCCCCAGCTCAGTTCACCTCGGCGCGGGTCGGTAAAGCCTCGGAGGGCAGCGGCATGCTCAGCCCTCTCCCCGGGAAGGAGCTGTTCCCCCGGGATCATGGCAGGGCCAGGATGCCAGAAAATCACTGCCCAACGCTGCCAGCGCTCATTTAGGTCTCAAGTTCAGGTTCAGGGTGGCGAAGGGGGGGGAATGAGAGGCAGAGACACAAAAGCCCAGCGAGTCCCAGCCCTTCTGCAGGCATCGCCCCGGGTTCAGTGTCGTGTCCCTGTCCCCGATCACTGGTGCCACTGAACAGCAGCGGGCTGCTCGGGTTTGCACAGCCCACGAGACACATGCTGCCGGCGACCGAATCCCACAGGAGACGGCAACGCGCCGGGAAGCCCGGGGGATGGACAGGCTTCTTGCTTTATAAATTCTTCTAGTCATTTCCAGTGGTTGGCAAACTCCTCCGGGCACGCGGCCAGGCTCCTGCGAGCCTCCGGGAAGGATGCGGCTTAAATGCAACGATGCAGCTTTTCACATCAGGAAACGCATCCGCACAGGGACCCAAACCCCGACTGAGCCCAGAGCGTGGAAATGCGGCAGAAACCACCTGTTTTCTTGCCGGGCTTATGGCCTCCGGCTTTGCCGCGTGTCCTGCCACCGACCTGCTCGGGACGCGTCACCGCTTTGGCCCAGGTTCTTGTGCATCTTCTTGTCCCCTCGCAGCCGGATCTGCATGGTCATGCTCCCGAGCAACGCAGGCTCGTAGCAAGCGGTGAAATCTTTTACGAGAGCCGCTGCCGTTCCCGGGCCAGCTCCCAGGCTGCAGGGAGAGGCTGGCAGAGCCACGTCAAGCGGCTGAGCTCCCCCTGCCCCGGGTGTCATTTCTTTTTCAGGAGGTGATTTATTATTAGCAACAAGAAGCAGCGAGGCACGGGGTGTTTGACGGGAGCGTGTCGGTGGCCTCAGGTACGCCCAGGTCGGCCGCTGTTCGGGAGCGCCGTGTCCCCCCCGGGCGCTGCCATCGGCGGGGACACGGCAAGCGTCACCCTCGGGCCCGTCAGGTGAGGAACCAGTGGTGGCTGCGAGGAGGGGGCAAGGGCAGGACACGGCTGCTGGCCCTGGCTCCCCTCCTGGGGACGGGGATGGGGATGGGGCTGGGGACGGGGACAGCCGCCCCCGCGGCTCTGCGGGACGCCGCTCCGGGGGGGGTGACGATGCTGTAATTACTTGCTCCGGTCCCACACAGACTGCTCTGCTCCGGTTCTCTTCTTGATGCTCAGCACCACGGGAAGGGTGGTGCGGGGGGGGGGGGGGGCGG